AACAGCGCAGCCTCGGCTGGTGTGGCTCAGTTGGTTAGGCACTGTGTCAGGCACCAGAAGGTTGCCGGTTCTGTTCCTGGTCAGGGCACATGTGGGGGTTGTCGCTTCGATCCCATGTGGGATATGTAGGAGGCAGCCAATCAATGTTGTGCTCTCACATCTCTCTGTCTGTCTCCCTCCCTCCCTCCCTCCCTCCCTCCCTCCCTCCCTCCCACTCTCTCTCCTCTTCTCCGTCTCTAAAAAAATTAATAAAACATGTCCTGGCTGGTTTGGCTCATCGGTTAGAGCATCAGCCTGCGGTCCAGAGAGACCCGGGTTCAGTTCCCGCTAGGGGCATGTACCTCGGTTGCAGTTTGTCCCCGGCCCTGGTTGGTCATGTGGGTGGCGGCCACTCGATGTGTCCCTTTCACATCAATGTTTCTCTCTCTCTCTCTTCCTTGCTCTCCCTCCCACTCTATCTGAACAAAAAATGAAAAAATGTCCTCGGGTGAGGATGAAAAAAAAAATTAATAAAACAAAAACAAAACTAAATAACATGGCTTGTTGAATTTCAGGCCAGAAAAAAAAAAACACATATCCTCAGGTGAGGATTAAAGAGGGGGGGGGGGACATTTGTAACAAAAATACATTTAATAAGAGGGAGGATAGAGTGCACCTATGCAGGTGGAGGACGTTTGTGTTGCTGTCTAGTGGGGGAGTCCCTCGAAAAGGAAGGTCAGCTCCCGGGGCGTCCATCCCCGCTGGGCTCCTGGGCTGTTACGAATGTTCCTTATTCCCTGAGCCTGTGGGAGAGCACCCTGCTTCCCCCTCCTGGGCTTCTGCAGGGAGCATGGTGGGCTGCCAAGAGCCAGTTAGCTGCACCATGGCTGGTCTGTGTGACCTCCACAGGTGACTGCTCCTGTTTCCACATCAGAAACATACGCGTTCCTCCTTCTGTGCTCCTAGGGGAGATGGACTGAGGCGGTGTCTGTGGAGCTGTTATTCTCAAGGTGTCTCCTGGGGCAAAGCGATTGGTTCCCCTGGGGGCTTCCCTTTGAGACGAGGAAGGCAGAGCCCCAGCCCTGGGTGGGAGCTCCCCTCTGCCCCAGACACCATGTTGCAAACCCTTGAGGAGTGTCCTGGACCGAGGCCCTTGCTTTTTCTCTGAATTCTGAGTGCTGCAACCTTGCAACCTCGGTCCAGTTGGAACAGGATTGGGAGCTTGTCAGGCGTTGGGAGAGCCCGTTACTTCATCCAACCTCCTGGATCCCTGTGGGTCCCGTGGATCCTGTGGGGCTGAGCACCTGAGTCAGCATGGATGGGATAGGCCCAGGTACCACTCGTTGTTGTTTACCAACTTTCTTGAGCACTTTCTATGTGTGCAGTGCTTTGCACACAGCAGCTCACCAGCATTGCAGTGTCCCCAGCCTACCACAGAGAGGGATGGACTGGGAGGGGTGAGCTTTCCCAGGTGGCAGAGTTACCATTTGAGCCCCAGCCAGTGTGGCCCTGGAGCCCATGCTCCTGATCAGCTACTCTCTGGCCCAGAGAGGTTGCTCCAGAGCTCCGGTGGTGTAGATACAGCATCTGTCCATTCAGGCTGCTGCCAGTGGGCTGTCTGTGTTCTCCATCTTTCCCTCTCCCTTCCTCTCTCTAGAGTCAATAAAGAAAAAAAATTTTTTTTTTTATTTCTAAGAAAAAGTTACGATCTGATAAATTATTTTTCAAAATACAGAAATATTAATGTAGGCAGAGGCATGTATATTGTAATTGGTTCCAAAGAGAGCACAGGGTAAAACAAGTTAAGAAATGTCTGCCTGAGGCATTGGATCAGGGAGGGAAGCCAGTGCTGCTGTACCTGGGTGTGCACCAAGCCTTGGTGTGCTCCATGTGGGTGTGCACCAGGCCTCGGTGTGTTCTGTGTGGGTGTGTACCAGGCTCGGTGTGCTCCGTGTGGGTGTGTACCAGGCTCGGTGTGCTCCGTGTGGGTGTGCACCGGGCCTCGTGTGCTCCGTGTGGGTGTGCACCGGGCTCGGTGTGCTCCGTGTGGGGGTGCACCGGGCTCGGTGTGCTCCGTGTGGGGGTGCACCGGGCTCGGTGTGCTCCGTGTGGGGGTGCACCGGGCTCGGTGTGCTCCGTGTGGGTGTGCACCGGGCTCGGTGTGCTCCGTGTGGGTGTGCACCGGGCTCGGTGTGCTCCGTGTGGGGGTGCACCGGGCTCGGTGTGTTCCGTGTGGGGGTGCACCGGGCTCGGTGTGCTCCCTATCTGTAATGCAGGAGGGGTGAGTGCTCTGTGACTGTTTGCTGTTAGAGGTAGAATTAGACTGATTTATGCCTCTGAGGCCCAGTACCCTCCCCAGAGGTAGCCAGGGACCTGTATCAAGACGATCCTTCTCAGAGGTGTTTGTGCTCTTGTGAGTGTGTGTGCACAAATTCCTTTTGTTTCTAGCTTTAGTAGTGCGAGACTGTGCTCTGTCTGGTTGTTCCAAGTCTGCAAATAGATCTGCCTCATTCTTTTTCTCAGCTGCAGAATATCTGCTTTCCTCCTTACAGGACTCTGTGAGCTCAGTACTGTTGCCACGTTTCATTGAATCTAAGACACCGTCACCTAAAGACACCCATTATTTAATATAATACCATGAAAAAGCAATGCCCAGTTAAATGAGACATATGTTGTAGGACTTATGGATTATATATGTGGGATTTTAAAAAATAAATACTGTAATGTCCTGGCCAGTTTGGCTCAGCGATAGAGCGTCAGCCCGCAGACCAATGAATTGCAGGTTCAATTCTGGTCAAGGGCACGTGCCCTGGTTGTGGTTTGTCCTGGGCCCAGTCTGGGTCTGGATCGTGCGGGAGGCAGCCAGTTGATGTGTTCCTCTCACGTCGATGTTTCTCTCTCTCTCCCTTTTTCTCCTCTCTCTCCCTCCGACTCTAACTTACCATAAATAGAAAAATATTCTCAGGTGAAGATTAAAAATAATAAATAAATAAATACTGTAGCCCTGGCTGGTTTGGCTCAGCGATTGGAGCATGGGCCTGTAGTCCAGAGAGACCCAGGTTTGGTTCCCACTGGTTTGTCCTCAGCCCCATTTGGGGTCATGTGGGTGGAGGCCAGTCGATGTGTCTCTCTCACATTGATGTTTCTCTCTCTCTCCCTCTCGCTCTATCTGAAGATGAATGCAAAAAGTGTCCTCAGGTGAGGATTAAAAAATAAGTAAAATGAACAAATAAATACTGTAAATGTATTTTCCTTATGACTTTCGTAATAACATTTTTTCTCTAGTTTGCTTTATTGTATGAATATAGCATATAATACATATAACATGTAGAATAGGTTTTAATTAACTGTTATCGGTAAGGCTTTTGGTCAACAATAGGCTATGAGTAGTTAGGTTTGGGGGAGGTTAAAAGTTAGTATGTGGCCCTCGCTGGGTGGTTCAGTTGGTTGAGTGTCATCCTGTGCGCTAGGAGGTCATGAGTTTGATTCTCAGTCAGGGCACATGCTTGGGTTGTGGGTTTGATCCCCGGTTAGGGTGTGTACAGGAGGCAACTGATCAATGTTTCTCTTTCACATCAATGTTTCTCTATTTCTCTCTCTCTTTCTCCCTTCCTCTTTAAAAATCAATAAAAACATATCCTCAGGTGAGGATTAAAAAAAGTGGATTTTCAACTGCACAGGGGGTTGGTCAAGGGTCGACTGTAGTGCTCTTTGGTTTATGTGGAAATGAAGACTGGGAGGTATGCGGCCCAGCAGGGCGGACCAGGGTGTCCTTGGAATCTCTGTGACCTTGGGCAGGGGCCTCAGGGGCACAGAATAGTAACAACTGCTGCCTGGAGCTGGGGGGCAATTCTGGATGAGTCTGTACTCGGGCTTATTGAAATCACTGTGATTTTGGAGGTGGCCTGCTTGCGTTCTTTGAATTTTCTTGTTCCTAGCAGATGTTTCATTTTTCCCGTTGTTCATGTGGCTGTTTTATAGACATACGCAAAATCCATAGGGGATTCAACAAATATTGGGTTAAACTACTTAAAAAATTGGGTGGTCGCCTGGACAGTGTGTCTCAGTGGATTGAGCATCGTCCCATGCACCAAGAGGCCCCAGTTCGATTCCTGGTCAGGGCACATGCCGGGGTTGCAGGTTCAATCCCCAGCAGGGAGTGTGTAGGAGGCAAGTGTAGGAAACAGTGATGTTTCTCTCTCACGTCACCGTTTCTATCTCTTTCTCCCTCTCCTTTCCTCTCTATAAAAATCAATAAAAATACATTTTTTAAAAATGGGGTGGTGGGTCAGAAATGGGTATGGACAGTTTCATATCGTTCAGCCTCTTTTATTTTAGTCTAGGTCTCTGGTCACTTTCACTTGTTTTTCCCTCTCTCCAGACAGAACAGCTTGCAAGTATCAGAAGCAAATTCTTCCCCAGAGAATTCCAAATCATGAGCGACAGACTAGCTAATTGTTCTTAAACCAGGCTCCCTTTTGCTGGGACCTGCTTCCTTGTCCATCACTTCTCCACACCCCGCCACACTGGGAACCTCTGTCCCTGACCTGTCCTCCCAGCAGAGAACCCCTGAAGGGAGTCATGTCGGTGGCTCTTGAGATCTTCAGCTTCTCTGGCTAATGAATGCTTCCTTTCACTCCTGGTTTTCTTTAACAAAACGTCGATCACTTGTACACTTGAGCTTGTCGTTTGTTCCGGAGGAATTCAGAAGAGCACTTGTCTCTTCCTCATTCCAGGCGCAGGGTGGCAGCTCCTTTTCAAGGGGCTAGAAGGGTAGTCACCCCTCTTCGATCATTTAGTTGCCGCCTGACTTCAAGTGACCACTCCTGGGACATAGATGCTCTCTGTTCTTATCCCACTCTGCTTTCTCCCACCCAGAGAGCTGTAGAATTTCTGTCTGGTCCTGTCAGCTCCCCCCGGGCTCAGACAGATCGTGCCAAAATGCCCAAAGGTGTTCGGAGGGGGTGGGGCTCAGCCCTTCCTGCCCAGGACTTATGGCGCCCCAATCTGTCCCCACACAGGGAGGAGTGGATGAGGGCCATCCAGATGGTCGCCAACAGCCTCAAGCAGCGGGGTCCGGGTGAGGACCCCATAGACTATAAGTGTGGCTCCCCTAGTGACTCGTCTGCGGCTGAGTACATGGAAGTGGCAGTTAGCAAGGCACGGGCCAAGGTGGTAAGTGCTGGGGGGCAGGGCTGCCAGTCCATAAGCACCCCTTCCCCACAGCATTGCCCTACCCCCCTTGGTTTCCATACCAAGTGTGAGGGGCCCAGGGCTGCTCTGTGCCCACCTCCTCCCAAGGCCATGAAGACCCGTCCCCGCCGTGCCCACCCCATGACCAGGAGAGCTCTGCGGGAGAGCCAGCTGCTGCCCAGCGCGCCTTCCTGCTTATGCTGGAGCATGCTGGCACAGTGCTCCTTGATTTCCTCTCTCCTTTGTGCACATTTCCCCCCACGGCCCTGTGCCACAATGCGCTGACCTGCCCGCTCCCCGTCCCCAGCAGACCATGAATGACTTCGACTATCTCAAGCTCCTCGGCAAGGGCACCTTCGGCAAAGTCATCCTGGTGCGGGAGAAGGCCACCGGCCGCTACTACGCCATGAAGATCCTGCGGAAGGAGGTTATCATCGCCAAGGTGGGTGCTCCTCAGGCTGCTGTTGGCTGGCCTCTGGGAGTGGGGGACACTTCTGTGCCTTCTGCTGCCAGTGCCTCATTTCTCCACCAGACCCATTCCCTGGGGTCAGTCCTGTAAATCGCAGCAGGCACTGTCAGGGCCCGAAAGGGGGTGTCCCATAGGCTTCGAGGGTGGGGGCTGGGCGTAGGGTGTCTCCGTAGGAGGCTGGGCCAGGAATGGAATTTTGTTTCTTTTATTTTTTTATTTAATAAAGTTTTTTAAATGGACATTCCAAACATACACAGCATTTTTTTAAAGAAAAATACATATAATGGACTCCCATGTAGCCTTCATCCAGCATCAGCGATTGTCAGCATTTGACCAATCTTGTTTCTTAGCTCTGCCCCCGCCGCCCCCGCTCCGATTCTGGAGTATCTTACAGCACGTTTTAGACAGTGGAACCATTCGGACTCGGACATGGGTCTTTAACAGGTGAAGGTTTTAGAGGCTGTGATTGTGGTACTGTGATCACAGCCAACAAGATGAACAGCCCCGGTGTCACCAGTCCAGGGCAGGGTTCCTCAGCCTCGCCCTGTGACGTTGGGCCGACTGTTCTCTGCTGGGGCGTGTGTGTACTGCAGGGGTGGAGCAGCAGTAGCACCCAACCCCCCACCCCCGTTGTGACCATCAGCAGTGTCTTCAGACGTTGCTGCTGAACGTCCCCTGGGGATAGACTCACCCAGGGGCAGAGCCAATGCCCCAGCTGCAGGTGGTTGAGGATAGTCAGCAGCTCTTGGTGACAGCGACAGCGGTGCCCATGTTAGTCAGCGGGAGGGCTTGTGAAGCCACTGCTGGGCCCACCTCCGTTTCTGGTGGGTCCACGGAGGAACCCGAGAACCTGCTTTTCTCCAAGTTCCCAGGAGACACTGATGCTGCCCATGTGGGGACCACATGGAATCGGCTCCAGCCTGGAGTCCTGATTCTAGATCCAGTTTCTTCTTCTAGCAAGAACATTTATAGGTGGCGGTTCCCGAGGCCTATGGTATCACCCAAGGGGTCTCATAATGTCTGCTTGTTCCCTGTTAGGGATCTTGGAATTGGCCTGTGGGTCCGGGAGGTAACAGCCTGATCCCTTCATCATAAAGTCCCCAATCAGTTTCTCGCCTCATGGTTTGGAGATCAAGCCACTTGGTGTCCTTGCCAGGATCCCTTTCTTCACTAGGGCTTGTGGACGGTAACGTGCCGCTCCCGCCGTTCTCATCGCAATTGGCCGGGAATGGAATTGCATTTCACCAACATGTTGCCCCGTCCCTCAGGTGGGGGCAGGCTGCTGTCATCCACCAGCCCCTCATCTGGCCTCTGTCTGCAGGATGAAGTCGCCCACACCGTTACTGAGAGCCGGGTCCTCCAGAACACCAGGCATCCATTCCTCACTGTGAGTGGCTCCCCTCAGGCCTTTGCGCGGTGGGCGGCCTCCAGGCCCCTGGATAGGGCTCAGGGAACGAGTCCTGCCCTGCTGCTGTGAAGCCCAGACTTAGTGCTGGCCAGGTGGCTGGGGCCAGGTGTTGCTGGGCTCCCAGGTGCCTGAACTAAAACCCCAGGGTTGGCAGCTTCTTTAGAGATGGTGGCTTCATGTCAGCACCTCAGCCGACAGGTGGAATCACATTACAGGATGGCCCAAGAGCACATGGCTGCTGTCTTTAGGAGTTTGAAGCACCTAGCCTAGCTGGTCGAAGTGGGAACATTATTTTTTGGTTGTTATTTTAAAATGTAATCTTAGAAGCAGATGTATCATTGTGCTGCCTGTCAACTTAGGCTGAGCAGACACCTCTTTGGGTGACAGCCCCCAGTTAAACAAACCAGGTTGAGGAATGCTTGTGGGTGGTTTCTGTATCTCGGTTGCTGTCCAGGTGCTCTGTTAAGCCACAGCACTTGTTGAAATCTTATAAGGTATCTCCCTGTAGAAGACAGAGAACAGTGGAGTTGTGAGCAGAGGGTTCAACGAAGGGTTCTGAGGAACCCTTTGTCGGGCTTCTTAGAGCGCAGTTTGAGAACTACTTTTTGTTGGCAGATCTGTTGTCCAAGCTGTCTTTGGGGATCAGCTCCAACTCCCAGCCAGCAAACCTCGTGTATGTGTGCATACATGTGTGCGCGTGCGTGTGTGTGTTGCACGTGTGTTTGTGAGAGAGTTGAATGCATCTGACTGTAGGAGGAAGAAAAATGTGACATGGCTCTGGTTGCTCAAAACATAGCTGTCCCTGGCCGTGCCCTCGGAAGCTTAGTGGCAGGCAGAGGACAGAGTGCTCGGCACAATGACCCTCTCCTGGCCTTCCGAGCACAAGCCCACTCCCAGACCCCAGAAAGCGAAGCTGAGGTTTGAGCCCCAGCTTCCTGACTCCCATGGCCGGTCCGGGCGGGGAGTGTCTGGGCTGTCGGCAGTGCCTGGCGCCTTCCTTCCCCGCAGGCGCTGAAGTACGCCTTCCAGACCCACGACCGCCTGTGCTTCGTCATGGAGTATGCCAACGGTGGGGAGGTGAGCGCTGCCCGCCCGGCCTCCTGCTGGTCTCGGTCCCAAGTGTGGGGGGAGTGAAATGCAGGGCGGAGGGACACTCACCAGGGCAACTCGTTCCGCAGGTGGGGAACAGCTCAGAGGTCAGTGGCTTGCCAGAGTTCCCACAGCTAGTGAGTTGGTGGGCGGGATACAAACCGAGGTCCAGCAGGGTGTGCAGAGGGCCGTGAGGGTGCAGAGGACGTCCTCGGAGGGGACCTGTGAGGAGAGCCTGTGCAAGTTAGGAGCCACCGGTCCTGATGCAGAGCAGCCCCAGCTCCGCGGCCCTCGGCCCCTCACAGTGTGACGCACTGCCCATGGCCGTGGCCTCACCGGTCCCACTGGGCTCACAGCTGTTGTCACTTGCTCATGACTTGCGTTCCTCTGCTTCCTTGCTGCCACTTCCTCGTTCATGTCCCCTGCCTGCCATCCCTACTTTCCTGTGTCCGTCCTTCACGTGAGCTCTTCTCCAGTCGGTCCCTGCTGTCCCTTGCCGGTTCATGGAGGAGGTGTGATGTTGTCACTGGGCCGCCAGGCAGGGGCCCCTCCTTCCCTCCTCTGGGCAGGGGCCTGATATCCCGTCCCCTCCGCCCCTCTTCTGGCAGCTGTTCTTCCACCTGTCCCGGGAGCGCGTCTTCACGGAGGAGCGGGCCCGCTTTTACGGGGCCGAGATTGTGTCAGCCCTGGAGTACCTGCACTCGAGGGACGTGGTGTACCGCGACATCAAGGTGAGCGCACGGTTGCCTCCTGGCGAGGGCCAGGCTGGCCTGCGACACTCATGTAGGACTCACACCAGGGAGGCCGAGCTCCCCACCCAGGGATCTGTCTTGTCCGCGTGCCTGTCTAGCTCCCTCCAGGGCTTGACCCCTCCTGCGGAGGTCCCTTCCGAGCCTGCTGTGGGCAGGCCTTTCCGGTGCAGTGGAGGGTGTACATTGGGTATAGGCACGTTAGAAGGCAGATTGCAGATCCCACCAGTACTGCACATGTGCATACCTGTGAGCCAGCCATTGTGTCCTAGGCATGTGCACCCCAGGAACAGGTGCCTGTGTGCACCTCAGAATGTGGGTACACACTCCTAGTAGCCCTAGGCACACTAACCCCAGACTGGGAGCAGCCCAGCCATCCGCTGCAGGAGAACGGATGGTCGGTGCACTCGCACACTGGGACTGCACATCAGTTAGAACACGCCAGCCACGCGGCAGCGTGCACGCAGCTCACAGACGTGTTGGGGGAAAGCCAGGACAGGCAGGGCGGACCTGGGTTGCTGACAGGTGTATGCGTCGGCGGCAGAAGCTGGAGAAGAGAGGGAAGCAGCCCCTGTCAGAGTTGGAGCTGGTTACTGGTGGGGGGCACACGGGCATCCAGGGGCCGGAAATGATCTGTCGTGACCTGGGGGGGTTACACAGAAGCCCACTAAATGGCCCATTGGTATGAAGTTTAGGGAGAAGGAGAAAGAAAGATGCCGTCCTTCACATCCAGAGTGGGGGAGGCAGCGTGGAGCAAGACGGGGCTCCATCTCTGCCCTGCTCTTCCAGCTTCCCCGGGGGATGGCCGGTGACTGGGGAAGCATGAGTATCGGGGTGAGGGCTTGCCCCTGAGCTGGGGTGTACCCGTGGCTCAGCCCTCAGCCTTGGTGTGACAGCTGCCATACACAGCCCCTCCAGGCAGGGCAGGGCAGGGCTGGGCATGTGGGGTCGCAGTGCGGTGGCAGGAAGCTCGGGAAGACATGTCCCTGATGCACTGACTTTCCCTACAGCTGGAAAACCTCATGCTGGACAAGGATGGCCACATCAAGATCACTGACTTCGGCCTATGTAAAGAGGGCATCAGTGACGGGGCCACCATGAAAACCTTCTGCGGGACCCCCGAGTATCTGGCACCCGAGGTGTCTGGGGCTGTGATGCGGAGGGAGGCAGGGCCCTGGGACTGTGTTTCCCCCACCAGACACTCTAGGGCTGAGCTCCAGTTCCTCAGATCACCCTCCCCAGTCCCGGGCAAGGCTTGTCCCCCTGGGCCATCAGCTCCTGGCCCCTCACCGCCCCTCCCTGTCAGGTGCTGGAGGACAATGACTACGGCCGGGCCGTGGACTGGTGGGGGCTGGGCGTGGTCATGTACGAGATGATGTGCGGCCGCCTGCCCTTCTACAACCAGGACCATGAGCGTCTCTTCGAGCTCATCCTCATGGAAGAGATTCGCTTCCCGCGCACGCTCAGCCCTGAGGCCAAGTCCCTGCTTGCTGGTCTGCTTAAGAAGGACCCCAAGCAGAGGTGAGGACTGGCGACTGCCCAGCGCCACCTGCTGCCACTGCCCTCGGCCCAGAGGGCAGTGTCCACACACACACTGGTGGGTGTGTCGTGTGTGGTCCCCACAGCCTCTGATGATCCCCTGGCGGGCACTCAGGGAGCACTCCCTGGGGTCAGGCCTGTTCTTAGCTTCTGTTCACACCACCTTGTTTTATGGGGACCCTGAGGAGCAGGGCAGCCCCGCCCTGGCCTAGGGTGGCCCAGTCACATGTGGCAGAGCCAGCATGTGAGGTGTCGTCTGCCCCGAGCTCACATTCTGTGCTGGGGCCAGGTTGCAGCCTCCTCGCTCTGACTCGGGGCCTGTGAGTTCCCGCCCTGGGAGGAGGGGTCTGTGGCTGGGACAGGATTATTAAAGGTTACTCAGCCTGCATGGCACAGGCCCAGGCCGGCACCGAAAGCGTCTCCCGGAACCTGGCTGCCCCGGGGGTTGGGTGCTCATGGCCGTCTCTGCCTAGGCTTGGCGGGGGACCCAGCGATGCCAAGGAGGTCATGGAGCACAGGTTCTTCCTCAGCATCAACTGGCAGGACGTAGTGCAGAAGAAGGTGAGTGCCACCACCACCTGCTCTCGGCAGGCACTTGGCTCCTCGTGGGTGACCTGGGCCGAAGCCTCCTGTCCTCAGGATCCTGAGGCCAGGCTCCTCTCCTCCGCAGCTCCTGCCACCCTTCAAACCTCAGGTCACATCTGAGGTGGACACAAGGTACTTCGATGATGAGTTCACTGCCCAGTCCATCACAATCACCCCCCCGGACCGCTGTGAGTGCCCGAGGCCCAAGCCCGGTGGGTGGCGGGGGGAGGGTGTCCACTTTGACCCCTTCTCCAGGAGGAGGCTCGCAGGGCTGCTGCTGTCGGGCATCTCGGGCCCACTGTGGCTTCGCTGAAAGCCACCGGGTGCCGCATGTTGCAGTGCTCTGGGCAGAGGTGTGGGCAGGAGGCACTTGGGGTTGTCAGTGCTGAGATGGCAGGTCCCTAGTCCTATTCCCAAACCGCCCAGGTCTTTGGAGCTGGGTTAGTTCATTGGCTTTGGAGCTGTTTGAGTTCTTACTCTCACCTGCCTAGTGCTGGGCTCTGCTGGAGACACAGCAGTGATGTAAACAGCCCTGGGCCCTGCCCTCGGGGAGCTCCCAGTCCAGGTGGGGTGACCGCCCTGAGTGGTCAGGGCTAGGGTGCAGGAGCACAGGGACGGGGAAGCCCAGAGGAAATGCCTAACTGCAGGTCAGGGAGGACTTCCTGTAAGGGGAGACATGGCAGCTGAGACTCGGTCCTTGGCAGAGGAATGGCATGTGGGACACCTAGAAATGGGAGCATTGCAGAGTAGGTGGGGGAGAGAAGGGGGGGGCCTGAGGGTCAGAGCGGGAGGGTCTTGGCCTTTGCGAGGAGAGGGAAATTGGGGAGCAGTGGGAGGGTTTTGTGCAGAGGGACAGGGTGCATCAGCGCTTTAGAAGGACTCTTGGCTGCATGTGGAGGGATTGTGGGCCTGAGTGGCAGCCAGGGCCGAAGCTGAGCCAGAGGTCTGGGCCCACCTCGAGGTGCACTGAAGTGTGGGAGGGGAGAGGAGATTGGGAAGCTGGGGGGTGCTCAGGTGGCTGAGTGAGCAACTCTGGGGCCCCAGAGCCAGGGCTCTGGCCTGGAAGTGGGGCTGTGACCAAGGGGCCTCTGTCAGGGAGGAAGTCTTGAGAACATCTCCGCAGCTGGGGGTTCTGCCTGTAGTCCTCCTTGAGGCTGGTGCCCCTCTGGACCCCACACCCCGGGAGTCTGAGTGGGTGCTGGGCTCTCTCAAGCCCATTCTCCCCAATCCACCTCCACTGACCCCACAGATGACAGCCTGGGCTCTCTTGAGCTGGACCAGCGGACTCACTTCCCCCAGTTCTCCTACTCGGCCAGCATCCGAGAGTGAGCAGCGCCACCCGCCCGCCGCCGCCATGGACACACGGCTGCCATCACGCCGGGGGGCTTTGTCTGGTTTTTTTTTTTTTACTTTTAATTTTGCCTCTTTTGTTTGCATCTCCATCCCTCACCCTTCACCTCCATTTATAGTTTTTCCTTCAGCCCTCTGCCAAACTCCCCTCAGCGGACCCAGCGGCCCTGCCTAGGATCCTGACCTGCCCTCACTTTTGCGCCCAGATCAGGACGGGGAGACCTCGCCGCCTGCCCCAGGACCGGGCCCTTGGTGGTCGGGAGGACTTTAGTTTTTCATCCGTGGCCCCAGCGGGGAGCGGAGGTGGAGGCGGAGGTCTGCCTCAGTTTCCGGCGGGGCCCGCAGCTGCCCGCTCTGGGTTGTGCTGCCACGGAGGGCGGACAGTGCCCTGGGCTGCCTTCCACGCCTGTCGTCAGGTTCCGCGTGTCCTGGCATGGAGTCCCGCTCCCTCCCCACACCGTCGGAAAAGCAGTGATGTCCAGGGCCAGGCAGGCCTGTGGGAGCTGCGGAGCGGAGGCCTAGGGCTCCCTCAGTAGGCTGGGGCCCATCACCAGGTGGGGAGCCTGGAGCGGCCAAGGGGATGACGACGCTGCCTCCCTGCGCCCACACTGCTCTCCTGACCCTGTGGACGAGGCAGGAGGAACATCTGGGAGCTAGCCTTCCCACCCCAAGCTCCGTGCCTTACCAGGGCTTCCTTCCAGCCGGCCTTACCTCCTGCTGGACCCTGGGCCTGGCCCTTCCCAGGATGGGGCCGGGATGGCCCTTCTCTCTGCCTGGGCGGAGGGTGCCGGCCCGTGTTGTTACACATCTCGCACCGAGACAGTATTGGGCCCTGTGGACTTGGGTGGGGAGGGGTGTCTCTGGTACGTTCTGGGGTGAGGGCCTTCGAGCAGGGAGGCTCCAGGCCACCTCACTGCCCCCCTCTCAGCCCCACGTTCTGCAGCCTTAAGGTGAACACGTGTCAGTGCTGTGGACACTCATGTGTGCCTTGGACTGTGTGTGCATTGGTGTCCTTATGCATCTGAGACACAGGTGCATATGGGGTGTATGTACGTGTGTGTGTGTGTGTGTGTGTGTGTGTGTGCAAGCATGTCCTGGCCTCGAGGGTGTGGTGTGTGTGGGTTTGGGCCCCTGGTCCTGACCCCAGCATTTCACCCCAGGGGCAGGGGTGCTGGCCTGGCGGGAGAGCCACACATGAGGTCCACTTGCTGCCCCGTCTCTCCCCTTCCCACCAACATCCCCGAGTGTTTGGAATGTAGTTTTGTGGTTTTGATCTCCCCACCCCACCTCCTGGACTAGGTAGTTCTCAGAGAGACATCTGGGGTGGGGTGGGGTTCGTGTGGGGGGTGGGAAGTCTCTTTTCCTTTTGTGTGTGTATGTCATTGATCTGACAATTCTCCCTCTTCCCCACTGGCCTTTCCCTGTTCCTCGTATTTGTACGGTACAAGCAATAAAGACTCCTTCAGACCAGGGCCTACCACCCTGGGCCTTTTCTTGCTCACGGAGTCCTGCTCTCATGGCTCCGTTAGGGGGCCCGTTAAGTCGGTGAGACGGAGAAGGTGCCATGGCTGGAGGGGAAGGGCCGCTGGGGGTGCAGCCCCGGAGCCGTTTAGGAGATCCCTGGGCCTGGGTGGCGGTGCAGTGGACAGAGACCTTCTCAGGCCCTCAGAAGCTGCTGGGGCAAAAAGAGGTGGGGTGGAGGGCCGGGGTGGGAGGGTCGGCTGGCTCTGAACAGCAAGGGTGTATGAGGGAGCACGTTCATTTTCCACAGTGCCTGAGCCCCAGAGCAGGCGCTGCCTGGGAATCTGCACCCCTCCCCCATTTATGCTACACGGGGGAGCGTCGAGGCCCCCAGTTCCCATACAGATCCCTCGGTGTCCTCGCTGGGATTTGTGGTGGCCTCCAGGTGGGTCACAGCCTCACAGCGCAGGGTCCTCTGACAGCTGGTTCCCATCTCGAATCACTTCCAGACCTGGGACCAGGGCTGCCCTGCACAGGTGAATGTAATACCCGGCTTTGCCAGGAAGTATTCGGGCTTCCCATGCGTGAAAATGTTAAGATCTTGAGTGAGGGTAGCAGAAAAGTTGAATCCAGTGTATAGAAGTCTGTTACCTGCACCCAAGACTCAAGGAGTTTTTTGGATTTTTTTCTAAGTTCGTATGGACATTATTTTTTAAATTACAACAGAATGGGTGGTAATGAGATAAACAGCAGAGGCTTATAAAGAAAAGCCTTTTCTTCTCCCCTCTAGTCACTGTCCTGAGGTGACCAGTGCTAGAGCCCTTTCACCAGCTGTCACTCAGCTCTCCCGTGTGGTCTGTCCCTGGGGACCTGTCCCGTTCCTCCGACAGGCTCCCAGGTTCGTAGCTGCTTCCTCTGTTGACGGTAATGTCCTTAGATGCAGTGGTGCTTATTTCTGTAGGACTTTTCCCAAATGGAGTTTTAGGTAAAAGAATTTTAATAAAATTTTACCAATTAGAAAAATTAAATTTTGAGTAATCTGTTTTTGTCGTGTGCACGTGGAAAATGCCACAAGTTTGTGTGTAAAGAAGAATGCAAGCAAAACAGAAGTACGTGGAAGAAAGTAAAAGTGACCCGGACCCCAGGCCTCCGGCACTGGTTTTGGTGCCCGTGTTACCTCTGCAAGTGGATGTGGCATCGAGAGAAAGCTGGTCCTCCTTTTTCTTTTTTTAAAATATTTTTTCTTTATTGATTTTAGAGTGAGGAAGGGAGAGGGAGAGATAGAAACATCAATGAGAGAGAACATCGACTGGCCGCCTCCCGCATGCCCCCCCCGCTGGAGATCAGGCCCACAAGCTGGGCGTGTGCCCTGACCGGGAATCAAACTGGCGACCCCTTGGTGCCTGGGTCGATGCTCAGCCACTGAGCCACACCGGCTGGACTGGTCCTCTTTTTTCTGCACAGCTCTTTCCTTCCTGCTCATCATGCCGAGCCCCTGGGCATATCCCGCCACGTCTTACCCGCACCCCTGCCACCGTGTGCACGCAGAGGATGTGTGTGGTCACGGATAGAAATGAGCCTCTTAGCCCCTTCTCTGCACTTGGGGGAACTCCCCGGGACACTGGTCCTGCTTTCCAGTTGCTTTACAAGGTTCCTTGGGGTGGATGCACCTCAGCTGAGGCAGCCGCCCCGCAAGAATTGACTTTATTTCCGGGGTTTTTGTTTGCTTGCTTGCTGCTGCTGCCAAGCACCGACGTGAACCCAGACAGTCCATCTTTACTACACGTGGTTCTTATTTAACTTTGAAATAATTGCAGACGAGTAGAAAACTTGGAAACTTTTAAAAATGGCGCTGAAATAATTCTAGGACTCAAACAGGAATTACACAAGATGAACCCGGAGCATCTGTGCCTGGAAGTAAGGACCTGCAACAACAAAAAAAGCCCTCGCAGGTTTGGCTCAGCGGTGGGAGTGTGGGCCTGCGGACCAGAGAGTTCCAGGTTCGGTTCCCACTAGGGGCACATACAAAAAGAAAAAAACCCTCACTAATGGCCTGTGAAGGGACACAGGAGCCAATGGGAAGAGCCTCTAGTGGGCACAGCTGAATGCAGTTTGAGCACCAAAATCAATAGTGTAGTATTGGTTACACCCAAAGAAAGTATAAAGTGAGTCTGTACTGATATAAACGATCAATGTAAGACCAGACTACAGAAGTCAGATACTTTCTGTAGATATTCTGCCTTCAAGGACGGGCAGCAGATCCCCTTGAAGTGTGGGCTGCAAAGCGACTTCCTTCCAAAGCGTGCAGTGCAGACAAGAGGCACCGCCTGACCGACTCCATCAGTGGTGATCGGAGTCAATACAGTGATAGTCATGTTGGCAGTATGTCTGACGCGGTGCAGGGAGGATGGTGCGCCCGCTGTGGCCTTCCTCTCCAGAGCTTGACAACACCTTCCCCTGCTTAAAGAAAGAAAACAGGCAAATCCCAACTGAGGGATGTTCTACCAAATACCTGAGCACTAGTTCTCAAAGCTGTCAGGGTTGTTCCAAAGGCCTGAGAAATTCACAGCTAAGAAAACCCCTAGGAGACAAGAAGCCTAAGTGTAACGTATCCTGAATGGGGTCCTGGAACGGAGAACAGTCAGGAAATTTGGCCCTGGCCAGTTTGGCTCAGCTGTTAGAGCTTCGGCCCGAGGACCAATGAGTCGCGAGTTTGATTCTAACCAAGGGCATGTACCTCGGATGCGGTTTGTCCCGGCCCTGGTCATGTGGGAGGAAGCCACTCATGTCTCTCTCACATCATTGTTTCTCTCTCCCTCCCTCCCTTCCTCCCTCCCTCCCACTGTATCTGAAGATAAGTAGAAAAATATCCTCCCGTAGGATTTTTTTTTTTTAATTTAGAAAATCTGAATAAGGCGTAGACTTTAAAAATGTATTTCTAGCCCAACCAGTGTAGCTCAATGGTTGAGCGTCGACCCATGCACCAAGAGGTTGCCGGTTCGATTCCTGGTCAGGTTGTGGGCCTGATCCCCAGTGGGGGGCATGTGGCAGGTGGCCAATCGATGTTCTCTCTCATCAATGTTTCTCTCCAAAAATCAAAGGCAAAATTTTTTTTTAAATATAATGTATTTCTAGTGGATCATTTAATTGTGACAAGTTACCACACTAATGTGTAGGATGTGAATAGGGGAAATTGGGTATGGGGTACATGGGAACTCCGTTCTATCTCTGAAACTTTTTATAAATCTCAGGTTTTTTATTTTTTATTAAAAATTTTTTTTTCTTTATTGATGTTAGAGGAAGGGAGAGAGAGAGAGATGGAAACATTGATGAGCAAGAACATTGATTGGCCGCCTCCTGCATGCCCCCCACTGGGGATCGGGCCCACAACCTGGGCATGTGCCCTGATCGGGAATCGAACCGGCGACCGCTTGGCACATGGGTCCACGCTCAACCACTCAGCCACACCAGCCAGGCTTTTTTTTTTAAAGTACAAATAATACTCATCTCCCCTTCGTGCAGGTTCCCCACAGTGTTGCACTTGACTCCCTCCCCCTCCATGTGTATATGTCTGTTCCACAATGAGGACATTCTCCTAATTGCACTCCGGTGATCAAGGTCAGGAAGTTAACGCTAAAACATTGCTCTTCTCAGACCTTAATCAGATTTCCTAGAGGTCACACTAATGTCCCTGTGTACAAAAGAGGAAACAGTTTCCTAGTCAGTGACTCAATCCAGGCTCACACTGTTGAAGTCAGTTGTCAGATTTGAAGCTTACAGGGCAAGTTACTTTGCACAATGTCCCTCAATTTGGGATTGTTGCCTGAAGTTTCCTTGTGGCTGTATTCAAGCAATGTTTGGCAGGAATTCCCGGAAATGAGGTGCCCTTCTCAGTGCAACTTACCGGGAAGATTCCAAACATCGCATTAGCAGTGGGGACTGATCCCTTGGTTAAGGTGGCATCTGCCAGGTTTCTCGGCTGTAAAGTTACTACGTTCTGCCTGGCTGCTGTGGCTCAGTGGATTGAGCATGATCCCATGGACTGAGAGGTCCCAGTTGGATTCCTGGTCAGGGCACATGCCCAGGTTGCAGGCTTGATCCCTAGTAGGGGTCACGCAGGAGGCAGCTGATCGATGCTCTCTCTCTCCCTTCCGCTCTAAAAAAATTAATAAAAACATTTAAAAAAATAAATGAAGTTACTAAGTTTTCTTTGTAGTTAACATCTTGTGTAGAGATACTCGGAGAATGTAAATATCCAGGTTCTCACCAAGTGCTCATAAAAAGGGAACAGCGAGTGCAAAGGCCCTGAGCCAGGCAGGTGCCTGATGTGTTTAGGGATCATAAAGAGGACAATGTGTCTGAAGTGGAGTGAGGGAGAGGGACAACTGAAGGAAATGAGGTTAGGTAACAACAGGCCAAAGGGACCTTGTGGTAAGGGGTTTGTTTTACTGTATGGCGGGAAGCCATTGGTCCAGCATCTCACACTTCTGTCTGCTCACTTTGCCTGGCTCACTGACCTCTCAATGCCTGGAAAAAGCAAGCTCTCTCCTACCTCAGGGCCTTTGTTCAGGCTGTTCCCTTCACTTCGGATATTCTCCTCTATCTTTCCTGGCTCCTCTTTCACGTTTCAGGTCCAATGTCACCTCAGAGAGGTCCTTCCAGACCACTATCTCTAAATTACAAATCCAGCTTTTCACTCATTCATTAACAGATATTCACTGAGTACTACGTGCTCAGCCCTGTTCTAGGCACTGGGAATACAGCAATAAAAAACAGGCACGCCCTACCCTCCTGGGACTCACATTGCAGTAAGGAGAGAGACAATAAGGCAATGAGCCCTGGCCGCTTTGGCTCAGTGGTTAGAGCGTCGGCCCACGGATCCATGAGTCACGGGTTCAATTCTGGTCAAGGGCACATACCTTGGTTGCGGTTCATCCCAGGCCCTCGTCGGGTCGTGTGGGAGGCGACCAGTCGATGTGGCTCTATCACATTGATGTTTCTCTCTTTCTCCCTCCCATTCTATCTGATAAGTGGGAAAATATTCTTGGGTGAGGAATAAAAAAAAATAATGAGGCAATGAGTGCTAAGGAGAGAATAAGTACAGAGAATGGGGGCAGGGAGTGCTCAGGGTGACACTTTGCACAGAGAGGGTAACATCTGAGTAAACACCTTAAAGGAAGTGAGGAATATCTGAGGTAAGAACATTTTGGGGAAAAGGAAACCGCCA